CTTCGACATAGCCTCGTCCGGGGATCCTCTCTGCCCGGAGGCAGATAGTTTGACCAGCACAGCTGGAAACGAATCTCTTACTGCAGACCAACATACAGTATTTACTACTGTATTTATGTGAATGGGGACAGACCCATTGTTGGGGCGCACCCACCTTCTAACTAGTAATGGACTGGTCCCTCTTATATAAGTCAGCTCTGGAGAGAGTGAGGAGAGCGTCAGAGAGAGAGAGAGTCAGCGTGAGCAGTCCAGATAAGCTTACCCGGTACATACCGTTGGACTATAGACTTTGGATATTGTTCGTACTAACCAACCTTCGTTCTATTAATCACTCTATTGTTAATTGCGTTTATGAATATACCAGTATTTTCCTCTACAACCGTGTTTGTCTTGATTCATACACCGACACGCGGGAAACTCACAACATCTCACCCATTATCGTCCGTAGGTAGGCTACAACATCATGATTTTGGAGGACGCATTGCAGAATGAACTTAGTTTCTTGCGAGTTGAATTGATAAAAACTTGGAAGTCATCTTAGGAAACTATCTTGATAAATGTTTGCATAACAATTTAATTGATTCACCTTAGCACGGGCGTGAAAGTATGAGAAAAAAAAAACAATATTAAGGAGCGAGAAGAATAAAAGAAGAGGAATCAAGAAGACAGACGATAAAGATTGACATGTTATTTGAGGAACAAAGTTTAATGGAAAGCAAGAAGCCAGGAAAGACTTCCAGAAACAAGAAGTGCGAGAGACGAAAAATTGTTAGCATGGAACATAGGCTAATTCAACTGCAAAATGAGACAGTTTGCCAAAATAGTATTGCGCTTAAATTCGTAAAGTCTAGGTGCCATAGAGCAGAGTACATCAGAACAATTACAATGAAAGTATTTATAGAAAAGGCAGAGGGAAGCTACATTAAGGCAGTGGAAAATGACTGAAGCCGAGATGCCAAGACAGAACGAATAACATTGCTGATTCTACTTTCGATTTTACCAAAAATCACTAAGTATATAACATGAGAACCAAATCATCTGTGTCTGCAATATTCGAAACAAGGACAAATGGTAGACTTATAAATATATCAGATGGTATAATCAGGGTATCTGTCTATATTTCTGAGATGATTATATACACTATTTACATTATTCGGACTATTGTCCTCATCTTTGTCACCATATTTATTACAACGTTTCGGCCTTTTAGTATCTGTCTATATTTCTGAGAAGAGGTATTATGTACACTATTTACATTATTCGGACTATTGTCCTCATCTTTGTCGCCATATTTATTACAACGTTTCAGCCTTTCAGTATCTGTCTATATTTCTGAGATGATTATGTACACTATTTACATTATTCAGACTATTGTCCTCATCTTTGTCACCATATTTATTACAACGTTTCAGCCTTTCAGTATCTGTCTATATTTCTGAGATGAGGTATTATGTACACTATTTACATTATTCGGACTATTGTCCTCATCTTTGTCGCCATATTTATTACAAAGTTTCAGCCTTTCAGTATCTGTCTATATTTCTGAGATGAGGTATTATGTACACTATTTACATTATTCGGACTATTGTCCTCATCTTTGTCGCCATATTTATTACAACGTTTCGGCCTTTCAGTATCTGTTTATATTTCTGAGATGATTATGTACACTATTTACATTATTCGGACTATTGTCCTCATCTTTATCGCCATGTTTGTCACAACGTTTCGGCCGTTGTACGCTTCGGCCTTCTTCAGTTGTTTGGAATGTCGAACTGAACCCTTTATTTCGCTCACTGGGGTAGACTGTTCCAGTTCCACGTGCCATGTTTAATGGATATCAGTCATCTCCTGTTAATTCCCCTCTCCAAGTTCTCCACCGCCTTAACCGGGTATTGAACATACACTCTTTGAGTCCTGTTATTGGATCTATCTAACGCCTTTTTTCCACTGTGCCATGTATCCTCAAGGAAAAATTTTAGTACATTATCAAAGAGTTTTTTTTATATATTTGCACTATTTTACTTTCATCGTTTTTCAGATATCGCGTCTTCACGCGCATTTCTTAAATTGCCACCCACGCCCCCACTTGTTTTGCTGTAAGACTTCACTGATTAATTAAGCCGCTTTTAAAAGGGGGTTTCATGTACGATTCCTGTGAGGAGGTACGATTTCTTTGTTAAGACTATCGATCTTTAGTCATACAGTAATTATTTTCAATATTTATGAAAAAAAAAAACAGAGATGGCTACTGAAACGCATGTATCCAGGAAATAGGATGTGTATATTAATAAGTGTTAAAACTTGACTAATGCATGGAATAATAATACAACACAAAATGTACTTAGAACAAAATGTATTGAAACAAGAAACTGTACACAATATTTACATATAGTCTTTTGTATATTCCTGGGAAGACCGTTCCTGGAGAATGTGTTGACTTAGTCGCAGTCGGGCAGAGTCTCTGGATTGGATCTCTTCTTCCTCACCCTCGCCTTCCCGGTACCAACCATATTTATATGGTCGGTACTCCACTATGTAAATTAGGTGGATCGTACCACAACAATAAGAAATATATTTATTTATTCTCCTTGCCATATTGCAATGCACAATGAAATTGGGTCACAGGCCCCAAGTGAAACACGTCTCCCACGCACAAGCACACACTGAACCAAAAAATAACAAAAACAAGAACAAAAACAAAAAATACGTTCAAAATAAGCTGAACATTTCAGCGTGTTCATTTTACGCAGAGCCCGATATTTACTTGCCTCACCTTTCCCTATTGATCCAGGTTGTGACTTAAGGTCGGTTCTAAAGTGCGTTTCCACTCGGGTCGCTGGTTTAAGGTGGTCAAAGTTCATCTAAGCTAGTCAAAGTCAGTCATATCACCAATAAATACCAGATGTAAAATTTGTAGTGTTGAAACATAACTGTAATTGTGTATCGATTTTAAACATGTTTTTGTTTTAATATCCTAAATATAATTATATATATATATATATATATATATATATATATATATATATATCCAAGTATAGGATTGGTGTATACGGAATAAATTCCAATAACCAAAAAATACTATTCTTAAAAGAGTGCTCAATACAGAGTAGAGCAAATATAATTATTTATTCAAAAATTATAACATAAATATGTTATAAAATCACTACAAAAATAGCTATTTTGTTTCAACACTTCTGGTGTCTTATCAAGTGATCGTGTTGAATTTATCAGCATCTCTTGATAAAACACCGGATTATAAAATTTTATCATTTTAAACTTAATACAGATTAAATTTAGATTTTAAAATTGGTATTTTTTTTACTTTTAATTTTAATATCAAATTTTATCATATAATTTAATAATTATTGGTTATAATAAATTCTTTTTTTTTAATATAACCCCAACTTTAAAGCTCTTAATAGCTGTTATAACCTTACTTCGTTGTCAAGTTTTTTGAATTCTCCTATACTTGTGTTTTGATTGGTCATTCTAGCTTTTGTAACAGCGTTTTCCCCTTGCGAAGGACCGTTAATTAATTTGAAACTTTTAAAACCATTTATTTTACATTCAACATCATCACTTGATAAGACACCGGAGGTGTTGAAACAAAATGGCTATTTTTGTAGTGATTTTATAACATATTTACGTTATAATTTTTAAATAAATAATTATATATATATATGTATTTGGGCAGCAATCATTCTTTTAGACATGTTTCATTATAGACGTCTGACAAGATACTGAGATTAAGCTTTTTATTTCTTTTTTCTTGTCTTTGTGTAATTTTGTTCTTTCCTAAACATAAAGTGTGTTAAAATTATCAAAAATGTCTATATATTTCAGCGCTTCTGCGTATTTTGTTAGCCATTATTAAGGATGGTTTCTCTTTCTTTCTTTTTAAATGAATGCGTAGATTTTTTTCCACGTTTCTAGAGTGATGGGAATTTTTTTTCTTTATTTTCCAAACATGGTCAGTACATTGTGGCCGTGATTATAACTAATGTTATTTAGTGTTGGCACTTTCTTTTTTATTATATATATAAAATATAGCCTCTTGGATTGAGGAATCGCAGAGCCGAGTTCAAATTCCAGTCGAATCCATTACATTCACTTACGTGCTAATACCCTTGGGAAAGGTGTGAATCCTCTTCTCCCTCCAGCTATGGGTAAAATAGCAGGACAGACTGGGTTCTATAGCCTTGGATGGCAACTGGTCTAGGAGAAGGACAACTCTGAATTCAAAACCTGAGGAGGGTTGTTTGGGGACCTTGTGGCACTTAAAAAAGTGTGGATGGTCCTGCACGAAACCTTCACCACTATAATCAACTCTTATGTGCCGTTGTCGGGCTGTCGGTTTCCTGGGAACTGATCTGCTTGACCCTCATACGTCGAACTCGACGATATATATATATATATATATATATATATATATATATATATATATATATATATATATTACTGGATAAGACAAAGAGAGTAATAGATATATAAATATACAGATATGTATAGCCTTTGTTTAACCTGGTAATAGGGTGACAAGCTTTGAGCATCTATTAAATGTCGACTACAACGTCTGTAGAGTCGTTCATTACTGAATGCCAAATGTTGAGGCGTTAAATATACAAATAAAACAAAAGATAGACAAACAGATACTGAGGATTCAATCGACAGATTTATACGGTCAAGCAAAACTGAATATTAACATGCTAAGAGCTATAGATATCGATGAATTGGGATATATGAATAACTACTGACGGGATGAGAGAGAGTAAGAGAGGGAGTTTCGAATAACCGGAGACTGAAAAATACAATGACAAATAGATGTGGAGATGCGAATATATTTAGAAGCCGCTGTACGCATGCGCGTTCAACTTTACACGCGTCTGTCTGACATGCTTACGTAAGTCATCGAGAATAACGTGTAATGGCATCACTGGAAACGAAAGAAAGGAAGAGAGAATATTGAAAGGGAAGTTGAAGTGAACAATGCACAAGAAGGGCTAGATAAAAGAGAAAAGACAAAGAAAGAAAGAAAGAAAGAAAGAAAGAAAATGGAAAAGATGGTTGAGGTTACAGGTGCAGAAGAAAAGAATAAATAAAAGAGAAAAGATGTTCGTGAGTAATGAATGAGTGATGAATGAAGACGACAGAGAAGAATAAGAGAGTGTTTGATTGAGCGAAAAAGAGAGAGGGATTGAAGAATTGATTGAGAGTGAGAGAGGAATGAATGAATGAATGAAAACTAATAGCAGTGAATGAGTTAGGGAGTGAATAAAAAATGTAAGTGAAGCAGAAGAAGAACAAGAGATTGTGAGTGAAGAAAAAGTGGGTGAGCGAACGAGAGAGAGAGGAAAAAAGAAAAAGAAAAGAAAATATGTCCGGAACAGATTGAGTGAAAAGAACGATATGTAGTGATGGAGTAAAGAAGAAGATAGAGAATAAAGATTATAAACAAGAAGAAAAAGAAGAAACAGAAGACTAAAAAGAAATAGAAGACAAAGAAGAAAGAGAAGAAACAGAATAATAATAATAATAATAATAATAATAATAATAATAATAATAATAATATGAAGAAGAAGAAGAAGAAGAAGAAGAAAACGTATCAGAATAATAATAATAATAATAATAATAATAATAATAATAATAAAGAAGAAGAAGAAGAAGAAGAAGAAAAAAGTATCAGAATAATAATAATAATAATGGGAAGAAGAAGAAAAAAGAAAAAGAAGAAGAAGAAGAAGAAGCAGAATAATGATAATAATAATAATAATAATGATAATAATAATAATTATAAGAAGAAGAAGAAGAAGACGAAAAAGAAGAAGAAGCAGAATAATAATAATAATAATAATAATAATAATAATAATAATAATAATAATAATAAAAAGAGGAGAAGAAGAAGGACGACATCAACAACAACGGAAAAATGTCAAACCTATTTAACAAACATGAAGACACGGATAAAATGGAAAGAGTCGAAATGATAAAAAAAAAACCCCAAAAAACAAGTTGTGAATAAATGGGAGAAAAATAAAAATAAAAATGTGAAGAGAAAAGAGGAAGACGAAAATCGAGAGACGGAAGTAAGTAATTGCGACAGAAAAAACGCGGAAATATGCCCAACTGCGCAGGCGCAAGAACATGCACGTGTACGCATGCGCCTGAATATGCCAACATGCAATGATACATCAACACTGCTTCGAAGAACATTCAGACAACTTAAGTAGAAACAGATATAATCAATAATCAAAGCGGCACATGCGCACACAGACGCATATATATATATATATATATATATATATATATATATATATATATATATATATATATATAGAGAGAGAGAGAGAGAGAGAGAGAGAGAGAGAGAGAGGAGAGTGTGAGAGTGAGTGAGGCTGAGGTGCTGAAATGTTCTCGGCCCGGTAAAGAAGGTATCCGAAAGAGTTTGGATGCTTGATTATTTTATATGAAGTGGATCCCGACGAGAAATTTTTCAGCACCCCTTCAAACAATGTGTTGAGAAGAAACACATAATAGCATAATAATGCAATTGGTGACCTGGATGCTCATTCAGGCAAACCGAGTTCAATCCTATATGGCGCTAATAACTTGGAGAAAGGCATGACTTCATATCTCCCTGTCATTTAGATCGGAAATTACACTCTGCTAATCATACAACACGCGTACCTCCCCCCCACACAATCATAAACACGCATATATACCACCAATCCACACACACACGCACATACGAACGCACAAACACACACCGATCATCCGATATTATGTTACATTGCTATAAATGTTTTATGAATGCACTTGTTTGAGTTGCTGCCTCTATTTTTTTTTAAATCGTGCAATTGATGTTCACCCGCCCGTGTATACGCATGTTTTCATTCGGAAATGCACTGTCGTAAGATATTATCACATTATTAAGAGTCTCAACTGGCCAGGTCGGTAGACATTATTTACATAAATTTTTTTTTTAAAAACAGGAATGTCTTCTTACACTAAAGATATCGGTTATTTTAATATATATATATATATATATATATATATATATATATATATATATATATATATATATATATATATTTATTTTTACTTTATCTATTTTTATTATATATATATATATTGCTATTTTTTTTTACTTTATTTATTTTTTTATATATATATATATATATATATATATATATATATATATATATATATATATATTATAAAAAAAGAGAAAGAACAGAAAGATATATAATCCGGTGTCAAAAACAGTGCTCAATGCAAATCTACAGAGCATAAATATTATAAATTTACTTATTTAAAAATATCGTTCCATCGCAACAGAGGAATTACCATTTTTCAAAAACAGAAGCTAAAAGCTTAAAATTCAATTATATAATTAAATTAAATTAAAGTCCCTAGTTCTGTTTTAAGGACTTTAATTTAACTTTATTCTATAATTGAATTTGAAGTTTTAGCCTCTGTTTTTGAAACATGTTAATTCCTGTGTAGCGATGGAGACATATTTTTAAATAAGTAAATTCATAATATATATACTACAATAAATATCGAAATTACCTCATGTGGCTATAGTCTTTTTCAGACCGGCATAACTGATGAGGATTGGCATTAAGTTGTGCCGGCTTGAATTAGACTATACCCACATGAGGTAATTTCGTTTTTGCTGTAAGACAAAGTGTCCTATAAAGATAGGGAACATTTTAATCAAATATATGGATTATGAAAATGAAAAGTACCAAATATATTTATTACATAATTCATATACAAGAATTATTGACTAAGATTTTGCTATTTCCTACAGGTATCTGATAGGTCTTTTTCTGATGGTAGGCCCTCATAATGTGGCCTCCAAAAGAAACTCCATACGTAGTGGAAGCATACTTCACTAGCCAAAGATACATTGTTTACAACCCAAAAGAAATTCGGACAGCATTTGGGAAAGTGACAGTTTATCATCCCGAAACGTGATCCTGTCTGCTTTTAAAGACTTCCATGGGACAGGCAATGGCAGCAAGAAAAACGATATGGAAGTGCCAGCTCGTGCGTGTTCTCTTCGTGGGGGTGACCATCTCAGGGATGTAAACTTCAAACCTTAGATATGTTCAACTCCTGTATATCAGTTATCTAATAAATATATTTGGTTCTCTACGTCATTTATTTATATATATATATATATATATATATATATATATATATATATAAATATATATATAACTGTGTTTTCACATATTTTCATTCAAACAGGTTTGATTAAATAATTTAGATATATCTTGTCGAATTATTTGGTTTGGTTTGGTTTATTTTGCTTTCCAAAATTGTATTGCTGGTAATATTTTGTCTTCAAAATTGTATTGTTGGTAATTATTTTTATTCAAAATTCATTAATAGTAATATTTTATTACAAAAATGTATTGTTGGTATTGAAACCTATTTTTAGACATTTATAGCGTTTTGACCCCAGGAGGCGGATGTAGTTTAACGTCTTACCGAGGATGCGAACGTAGTTTAACGTCTTACCCAGGAGGCTGATGTAGTTTAACGTCTTACATAAGACGCAGACGTAGTTTAACGTCTTACCCATTACGCGGACGTTGGTTAACGCCTAACCCATTACGCGGACGTAGTTTAACGTCTTACCCAGGAGGCGGATGTAGTTTAACGTCTTACCTAGGACGCGAACGTAGTTTAACGTCTTACCGAGGAGACGGATGTAGTTTAACGTCTTACATAAGACGCGGACGTAGTTTAACGTCTTACCCATTACGCGGACGTAGGTTAACGTCTTACCCAGGACGCGGACGTAGTTTAACGTCTTACCCAGGAGGTGGATGTAATTTAACGTCTTACATAAGATGCGGACGTAGTTTAAGGTCTTGCCCATTACGCTGATGTAGTTTAACGTCTTACCCAGGAAGCGGATGTAGTTTAATGTCTTACCTAGGACGCGGACGTAGTTTAACGTCTTACCCAGGAGGCGGACGTAGTTTTACGTCTTACCTAGGATGCGGATGTAGTTTAACGTCTTACCTAGCACGCGAACGTAGTTTAACGTCTTACCCAGGAGACGGAAGTAGTTTAACGTCTTACATAAGACGCGAGCGTAGTTTAACGTCTTACCCATTACACGGACGTAGTTTAATGTCTTACCCATGAGACTGATGTACTTTAACGTCTTACATAGGACGCGCACGTAGTTTAACGTCTTACCCATTACGCGGACGTAGGTTAACGTCTTACCCAGGAGGCGGATGTAGTTTAACGTCTTACATAAGACGCGGACGTAGTTTAACGTCTTACCCATTACGCGGACGTAGTTTAACGTCTTACCCAGGAGGCTGATGTAGTTTAACGTCATACATAGGACGCGGACGTAGTTTAACGTCTTACCCATTACGCGGACGTAGTTTAACGTCTTACCCATGAGGCGGATGTAGTTTAACGTCTTACCTAGGACGCGGACGTAGTTTAACGACTTACCCAGGAGGCGGATGTAGTTTAACTTCTAACCCAGGACGTGACATAGGTTAACGTCATACCCATTACGCGGACGTAGTTTAACGTCATACCCATTACGCGGACGTAGTTTAACGTCGTACCCATTACGCTCGATTTATTTGGGTTTTGATACTTTCAATTTCAAGAATTAATTCCTTGTCATCCTTAGAAATCTGATTAAAAAAAATATCAAAATTTTCTTTCAAATCATTTTTCTTTTCCCTAAATAGTTTCAATCTCATCTGAGACCATCTTCAGGGGATTAAATTGTCTGTGAATATGTAGATGTATTTATGTAAATTCAAACTGGTCAACTTTAACGCCACAAAAACTAAATTACTCTCCATTAACCATCATAGAGATCCTTCCCTGCCCCCCATTAAAATGTCTGATAGTCAACTTCCTGAGAGCAACTCCCTGCGTCTGCTCGGTCTCACGCTGACTGCTGACCTGAGATGGAACAAATACATTGAGTCAATTGCTTTTCCACCGCGAGGAAAGTTGGCTCTGTGCCGCGCCAGGAAATTTTTTTCTCCCTGAATCGATACTTCAAATATACAAAACAACCATTCGCCCTTGCATGGAGTATTGCTGCCTTATATTGGCTGGAGCACCTTCTGCTTACCTCGGAGTTCTTGACAAGATCCAGAGACGGATATGTAATCTAATTGGCCCTGATCTAGCGTCTTGTCTGCAGTCACTCTCTCACAGACGCGTCGACGCCTCTCTCTGTCTTTTCTACAAATACTTCCATGGTAACTGCTCTGATGAGCTGCTCTCTGGTTCCCAGACTCCATGAATTCAAGCGCCCTACGAGGCTGGCATCCTGCTCTCCCCTTACACCGTAGAAACCTTCAAATGTAGCCGTCTCTTCTACTCCAATAGCTTCATACCTCGCACCTCTCGCCTGTGGGAACACCCTCCCCAATTACTGTTTCCCTGAAAGCTATAATCTCCAACTATTCAAATGTAATGTCAATCGACATCTCAATTACCTTTGATCTACCCACTATCCTTCTCCTCTTCCTTTCTCCTATCACTCTTATCTGCTCTCGCTCCAAATCTTCCGCAACCCCCTGCATCCTAGTGGCTTCACGCCTTGCTTGGGGCTCAATGTTTAAAAAAATAAAAATAAAAAAATAAAAAAAAAAACTGTTCGTTTTAGTGTGTTATTCTACGTTTCAAAATTCCAAATTCACATGTTTTTTTGTTCAGTATCATTTTATATATATATATATATATATATGTATTAATCCATAATATATAAAATATTCATATATATATATATATATATATATATATATATATATATATATATATATATATATATAATAAATACATTGAGCTCTCTGTGGATCAGTTTTAATATTTGATATTACTAGGATCCACTTGGATTATAACCCAACGGATCTATTATGTATGATATATATATATATATATATATATATATATATATATATATATATATATATATATATATATATATATATATATATAAGCTATTGTGTAGAGATTCCAACACGTTTTACAATGTCTTATAATAAAATATATATATATATATATATATATATATATTATGGCATTAAAGGCAAGAATTTTTTACTATAGGCCATGATAAATTTTAAAGCAAAAAATC